GACTATACAGACACATTGCAGAAGGTATGTCAGAAGTGAAAAGATAATAATGAGAAGACAAAGTTAGGTGGGTGCAGTGGATAAGAGCCAGAAAGATTTGTGTTAAAACCCTATTTCCAAGAGTTAACAGATGGGTGACCCTAGGCAAGTTCCTTCACCTCTGAAACTCAATTTCCTCATGTGTAAATGAGAAATTTGGATATGATGGCATCCAAAGTCCTTCCCAGCTCTAAACCTATGATCTTATATATTCCTTGTTAAAATATATTTAAAATGATAAAGCCAAGGATAGCCTTGTCAGGGATAGTTACCTTCCATTCAAGCAAGAGATGAAGGCCAGTTCCCCTCCTCGGCTATGATGAGCTGGGCAACTTTTTTGAAAACTAAAATATATAGTCAGGCTGAATCAGTTGCCTTGGTGATGGGAAAGTCTAGTTCAATTAAAATATAACTAATTTGGTCTTGCTTTAAGTGCAGACAAATCAGTAATTAAAATTGCCTCCTCATCTTTCATTAAAGCCTGCTCAGATCTTCTTGATTCTGTCTTTGTCCCAGGTGTCAAATCCTCATGTGATAAGTCTTTGCCTTTAGCAGTCTCAATCTTTCTTCTTTTAATACTGTTTGTCCCTATACCAACAAATATCCCAAAATTCAGTCAGGTTTATTATCTTTGGGCATTCTTTTAGGAAATTTCTGTCTCTATGTTCCTCCTATATTTCCATACAAATATAGGAAGTATCTGTGATTTTGGTAGTGTGAGGAACTCACAGTATGAAAACTTTCTCCACCAATGAAGAAAGCATCCAGTTTATGACTTAGACAAGTCTGGGGCCATATTATTTAATCTCTTTGAGACTCAGTTTCCTCCTCTGGAGAGAATCAATGACCTACCTCTAAATACCCTGTTAGCTCTCATCCAGTTATCCAAGGGTGGTCCCTAAGGCACATATAGTGTAAGTGACTTGTCCAAGGTCACATAGATAGTAAATATCAAAAGCTAATTTGAACTGAGGTCTTCTTGACTCCAAGCCTAGCACTCTATTTACTATTCCTTGTTGCCTTGTTATCCCTTGGATTTTCCTTTCTTTCCATTACTGCCCACACAGTCCTTTCTCTGCCACCACAGCACTTTCTCAAGTTTCAATATCTCTTCAGATATCCCTTTTAATTTTTGAAGGCAACAAGAAGATGTTAATGTTACTGGGCCTCAGGATCCACTATTTGGGATAGAAGACTACCTGTCTCTCCTTAAATAAATGAGAATTTTGAACTGGACTTCCTATATGTTATCTTGTTTATTTTACCACATTTCAAACTCCAAATTCTATTTTCCCTTTCTGTCTGCTTTTTCGCTGTAATTCTGTATTCCCCCATGACTGAGTCACAGTAGCCAGATTTGGAAACTCTGGATATAAAGAGGGTATTTTAATACCTGCTTTTAAACTTTCAACACTGGGGCCAGCAGACTCAGGCCTTTCCTTTTAACCTTTGTCCTCCTCATCTTTCCACTACAACCTTCATCCCTCTTTTGTGCTGCTCACTTTGCTGTAAACATCACATGAGCTTCACCATAGACCTCCTCCGACAGTGGGCCCATCTGTCACCAGGGAAGGCAAGAAGAAGGGGTAGGAAAGGGGAGCAGAACAGGCTATTCTCTCCAGCCACATCTTCTACCACTTAGAGGTCACTCAGCTTCTCAAATTACCTCCCTCCTCCACCCCCACCACACACACAAACATCTGTTATTTATTGTCTGTATTGTTCAGTTCTCTTGAAGCAACATGAACTAAAGGAGTCAATCCTTGGATCTCAATGAATTCTTTCTGTCTGGTCCAATCTGGCTTCGGAGTCAGATGAACAAAATTAAAAGCCTATTTAAGATAACAACTAAATGCTTTAAACATCTAGGAATTAACCTACCAACACACATAGGATTTATATAAACCCAAAAGTGTATTCACAGAATAACAAATAAATCCTCAGTTTCATGTACATAGATGGATAGACCTTTTAAAGTTTAATCCGAGTTAGGCCAACCCCAGAAGCCTCCTGGGATTTCTCTATACAATGTGAGCTGAGCCGATCACTCCAGCTACATTTCTTCTCTCTGTTATCAGTCATTGGAGCAGTGCCCTTCTTTAAGGGAGGAGACAAACCTTGTTGTAGTAGAAAGAGTGCTGTACTTGGAATCAGGAGACTGGGTTTGAATCATGCCTCTGACACCTAATTGATGTCTCATTTTTGTTCAATCATTTCAGTCTCATCCTCTTCTTTGTGAACCCATTTGGGGTTTTCTTGGCAAAGATATTGGAGTGGTTTGCTGTTCCTTCTCCAGTTCATTTTACAGATGAGGAAATTGAGGTGAATAGGGTCGAGTGACTTGCCCAGGGTCACATAGCTAGTAAGTGTCTGAGGCCAGATTTGAAGTCAGGAAGATGAGTCTTCCTGACCCCAGGCCTGGCACTCTATCTACTGAGTCTCCCAGCTGCCCCTCATAGCTGTGTAACCATGAGCAAATCATTTCACCACCCTATGCCTTAATTACCACATCTGTAAAATGGTGACAATAAGCCTTGTGCTACCTACCACTCAGGGTGAGGAAAATGCTTTGTAAACCTTAAAACAGTTTTTAAAGATGAGTTATTAGTTAGTATTTTAGGTGTTCTTTCTAGAATTTTTTTTCAATTAATGAGCATTTATTTTTCCTCCCTGCCTCCTCCCCATCCTTCCTTTGGTAAAACAGAAAAGATAAGACAAATATGCATAATTAAGGAAAACAAATTCTCGCTTTGACCATATTCAAAAATATGTGTCTCATTCTGTCTATTCAGTTCATCACCTTTCTATCAGGAGAGGTAGCATTCTCACCACTCCTCTGGCATCATGGTTGGTCACTGCATTGATCAGAGTACTTCAGTCTTATCAAAGTTCATTTTTACAGTGTTGTTGTTGTAGTACTATAAACTGTTCTACTTCTGCTCACTTCATTTTGCATCAACTCATATAAGTCTTTCCAGGTTCCTTTGAAACCACGCCCTTCCTGTTCATTTCTTTTGGCACAATATACTCTATTCCATTCATATGTGATTATTTGTTCAACTATTCCCCTACTGAAAGTAGCTCACTTAATTTCTAGTGCCTTGCCACCATGATAAAAGCTGCTTGTCATATTTCCTCTCATTATTATTATTATTATTATTATTATTACTACATGAGTCTTATTATCATGTGAGTCTTTTTTCTTCGATCTCTTTGGGGTAAATTTAGACCTAATTGGCAGCTATTATTACTATTGTATTATCAGCCAGAGGCATTTATGCCTGCCACCAAATGGGTAGACTTTCCCCCACCTCAGACCAAGTCACTTAAATTCTCTGGGCCTCAATTTCCTCATCTCTAAATGAGGGTGTTGGCCTAGGTGATCTCTGAGGTCTGTTGTAGCTCTCAATCTATGGTCTATTGCAGGGGTGGGGAACCTGGAGCCTCAAGGCCATGTGGGACCCTCTAGGTCCTCCAGTGCAGCCCTTTGAATCCTAACTTCACAGATCAAATCCCTTTAATAAAAAGATTTGTTCTGTAAAACTTGGACTCAGTCAAAAGGCCGCACCCAAGGACCTAGAAGGCCAAATGTGGCCTCAAGGCCGCAGGTTCCCCACCCCTGATCTATTGTGTTAAAAACATGTCAAAGTGAGTGGAGGCCCTGTGTTCAGGGAAGGAACTGGGATGTGTTATCCCTGCCACCTGCTAATTATTTGGAATGTATTATCCACCAACAACTGTGAACTGATTAGAATCAGTGACTGTGAACTAATTAGAATGACCCAGTGACTGTGAACTGATTAGGATTTCTTACTCAGTTACTGGAATGTGCTATTTACTCAACCCAGGCAGTCCCGTCCAATTTGTGAAGCTTTTAACCTCAGAAACACTCTGTGTTGGAACTATCCCTGGGACTCGGGAGTCTGCCAGTCACCCAATGTTGCAACATCGGTGTTATCCTTGCCTCCTCTTTCTCTCTCACCTTCCATGTCCAGGCTATTGCCAAGGCCCGCAGATTTTACCTCTGCAATGTCTCTAGAATATTCCCCCTTCTCTCCTCCGACACTGTCTTCACTCTAGGCTCTCATCACCTCATTTGGACAGTGAGCCAGCTGATAGCTCTGCCTATCACAAGTCTCTCTGTACTCCTGTCCCTCCTCTACTCAGCTATTAAAATGATCTTCCTGTAGTGCCAATCTGACCATGTTCCCTTTCCTGCCCTGATCCTCCCCCGCAAAAAGAAAAAAAAAATGTAACGTCTTCCTGTCACCTCCAGGATCAACTATAAGATCTGCTGGCATTCAAAGTCCTTCATGACTTGGCTGCCCTCACACATTTCCAGTCTTCTTACACCTTATAAACCTCCTGTGCCTCCTCCCCTCCCCATTCTGTGATTAGGTGACCCTGGCCTCCTTGCTGTTCCTCAGACATGACTCCATCTTTCTACCTTTTTACTGATTATCCCCATAGATGGAATGCTCTCCCCCCTCATTTCTACTTATCACACCTACATGAAGCTTTTCCCAGTCCCTCTGAATTCTAGTGCCTTCCCTCTGTTATTTCCAATTTATCTTATAAATAGCTTGTTTGTAGAGAGTTTGTACGTTGTCTCTGCCATAAGATTGTGAGCTCCTCTAGAGCAAGGACTGTATTTTTACCTTTCTTTGTATTCTCCACAATTAGCACAGTGCCTGGCAAACAGTAAGCACTTAATAAATGTTTATTGATTAACTGAATTGTAGTGGATTATAGGGTATTTCAGTTTTCAGCCCTAATAGTTTAAAACTGTATTAAGACTTTTGAAATACTATATATATTTGACATTACCTTCCCTCAGACTATCTACCACGACCAGTTAAAGCTTTTTTCTTCTACAGACCCAATCAGAGTTCCAACCCCAAATCTTTGTTTCTTCCTGTGAAATGTATTTTAATCTGATCCTTTTGTTGATGAATTTCTAGGGAAGGACATGGCTGCTGTGCAGAGAACCTTGATGGCACTGGGCAGCTTAGCTGTGACAAAAGATGATGGCTGCTACAGAGGAGAACCATCATGGTTTCACAGGTAAAAAAACCAAAAATCCCAAACTCAGTATGCTCAAAGCCAGCAGTGGTGTTCAGAAGGAAGCGTGGGAGGCTGACAATCTTGGCTGTTATTTACCTAGTCCCAACAGCGTGCTTCCCTCTGTCTAACACACAAGGATCACAGAATTATAGAATTGCATAGTTGGAGGGCACTTTACCTTCATCTTGTCCAACATGACACCTAATGAAGGAATCAGATGCAAGCTGGCTATTTGGGAAGACATGTAGGATCATGGGATCATTGACTTGGAATTGAAAGAGATTTCATTCATTTTATAGATGTGGAAACAGGCCCTAAGTCATTTAGTAATTAAGAAGTGGAATTGAAATTTGAACCCAAGTCCTCTGATTCTAAGGTGCTACAGTGGACGGCGTACTTGGCCTGGAGTCAGGAAGACTGGCGCAGTCACTTACTAGCTATATGACCCAGGGCAAGTCACTTAACTCTGTTTGACTCAGTTTTCTCATCTGTGAAATGAACTAGAGAAGGAAATGGCAGACTGTTCCAGAATTTTTGCTGAGAAAATCCCAAATGGGGTCATGAAGAGTTGGATATGATGGAAAAATGACTAAACAACCTCAGATTCCAAATCCAGTGATCTTTCCCCCTACCTTTGTTTCCTGATAGAACTTCATGTTCTCCCCTCACATCTCTTGCATCCTCAGGTGTTATCCCAACCTTTTCCTGTCCTAAAGTTGGTAGGGATAATGTGGCACATATGGGCCATGGTTTGAATACCAAAATGTATTTTGATCATGACTCAAGTAGCATCTCTTTCTAGAATTTTTTTCAAATTTTCTATTTAATAAAATACATGGTCTCTATTGTTGTTCAGTTGTATCTAACCCTTCATGATCCCATTTGGGGTTGGCTTGGATATTGGAGTAGTTCATCATTTCCTTCTCCAGCTCATTTTACAGATGAGGAACTGAAGCAAACAGGCTGAAGTGACTTGCTCAGGGTCACACATCTAGTAAGTATCTGAGCTCAGATTTGAACCTAGGTCTTCCTGACTCCAGGCCTGATGCTCTATCCACTGTACCACCTAGCTGCCCATGGTCTCTGTTTCCTCATCTGTACAGCAAGTGGGTTAGATAAGATGCTCTGATCTACCCATCATCAACCTAGCCCAAGAGCCCCATATTTAAAGTTAGGACAAGCTTCAGGCTTCACTAAACTCAGGGCAAATCTTGAAAGGGATGAGATGGAGAGAGAGGATGGTAGTGACAGCCATCTGGGAGATCTACCAGGTAAATCTTTGGAGTCTGCCAATAGATTCTGATATACCTGCTGGGAAGTCGTGATTTAGCTTATCCAACAACATTATCTTGAGATGGTCAAAGTAATAAGAATAAGTTTCATATTACTATGGAAATTTGTCATAATGACATTTTACCTTCTTTCCTCTCTGTCCAGGAAAGCTCAGCAGAATCGGAGAGGGTTTTCTGAAGAGCAGCTTCGCCAAGGACAGAATGTAATAGGCCTACAGATGGGCAGCAACAAAGGAGCATCTCAGTCTGGAATGACTGGGTATGGGATGCCCAGGCAGATCATGTAAAACCCTTGGTTCCTCTTCCCCCATAGAGAAGGATGAAAGGTTCACAGCACGATCTCTGTTAAAAAAAAATGAAGATGTAGTTAGTCACCTTCCAACCTGTTCCTCTTCTTCCTCAAAACCTCTCACCCTTTTATTGGTTTTTGCAAATGCTGCGTTTCTGCTGAGAATCCATATTTCAAATTGCTGCCACCCGGTGTTCATTTCTGAACTATGCAAAGATATCCCTGCTTCTCCTGGGAGCACTCCCCTACCCCTACTTTCCTCTCCAGTATTTTATTTATTTGGTTGTCTATTTATTTGCCAGCAATCCTCCTATTGTTCTTAGATACTCACCTAATTAAAAAAAAAAAAGAAATCTTGCATCTAGAAGTGGACACCTTCTTTATTTTAACTTCTACTTGGGCCAGGATTATTTCATAAGATCATAGGAATTAAAACTGAAAGGACTCCTTAGAAATCATCTTGTATAGCCCCCAACTTTTATACTTGAGAAAACTGAGGTCCAGAGATGGGAAGGGATTTTTCCTAAGATAAGAATTAAATAAACACTATTATTAGGTGACTGCAATGGGTCAGATCCTGTGCTAGGTGCTAAGGATTACTCTTTTGTCTTTGGTCCAGATCTACAGTCTTATTGGTATAGGAAGCTTTCAATACAGTAATTTTGGAACTTACAGTATGAAAGAGTTGCCTGGGCCCTGAGAGGTTAAGTCAATCACCCACAGTGATAGCAGCCAGTATGTATCAGAGGCCAGACCTAATTCCAAAGTTGGCCTACTGTTTGCTACTCAAAGCTGTCTCTGTGGTGCTGAGGATACAACACTGAAAATAAACACATTTCGTGCTTTCTAAGACTTTATAGTCCAACACAAGTGATGACTAGTACACAAACAAATGTGATACTACAGAGAATTTGATAAAGACAAAGAAGAGGTCATGGGATCATAGATTTAGAGCTGGAATAGACCTTTAGAATCTAAACCTCTCATATACATGAGAAAAGTGAGACACAGGAAGGTTAAGTGACTTAGCCAGGGTCACATAGCTAGTGAATGTCTAATGCAGGATTTAAATGCAGATCATCCTGATTCCAGGTCAAGTGCTCTACCCACCTATGCCACCTAGCCATCAAAACATTAGAAATTTGAGGAGAGAAATGTTACTTTTAGCTGAGGAAGGAGGTCAGCAAAGCCTTTGTGGAAGAGCTGGAATCTCAAGTAAGTCTTCAAGGAAGAGAGGAATTTCTGTAGGTAGGGATATGGAGAGAATAAAATGGGTTTAAATTCAATAACTGCTCTCTAGAAGGAGAAACAATGATCAAATTAAAAACTTTAGACTTGAAAACTTCAAAGGCCACCTAGTTCCATCCATACCCTAGAAAGAATTCATTTACAACATTCTTGTCAAGTGGTCACCCAAACTCTGTTCAAAGACTTCTAGTTGTAGGGAACTCACTACCCTACTGTCTCATTCCCATTTCGGACAGCTCTAATTGCAAATTCAACAATGAGGAAGTATCCTTATTTCACACCCGTGCCTTGAGATGGTCCAGCTAAGGACTAAGTTATTAAGGATCACCAGAGAGACCAATCTGAATGACATTTCATATTCTGTCTTGCATCTCTCAAGCACTGCAGCGTGGCATGTGATCCTTCACTTAGAAGAACTTCTAGGAGAGAAAGTAACATCAGAATTCCCTGTGGGGAGAGTTAGGGGAGGAAAAGACAGATACTCCACTCTCCATTCAACAGTGTTGGGGTGTATAAGAGTAACTGGATATATACCAAATGATTGGTTTGGTGCTTTGCAACTGACAGATGGCTCAGGAATAGCTTAGCACACAAAAAATCACTTGCACTTAGAAGACACTCCATAAATATGCAGAATGAACAAATAATTCTCACACTTACTAACAGCATCATTATCATGGAATGGATCCCAGATTTGAAGTCAGAAAATCTGGGTTAGAATTCTGCCTTTGCTTGCCATCCTTATAACTTTAGGAAAGTCATTAACCCTCCTGGGATTCTATAACCCTATGATCCTCTCTTTTTTGTAGCAAATGATCCACCACATCTAGAACTGAGGCTGAGGAAGTTTTTTCACTAATGAAATGGAGGCACAATGGGAAAAGCAACGGCTCTTGTTAGAAAACCTAGCTTCAAAATTGGCTCAGGGGCAGCTAGGTGGTATAGGGGAAAGAGCAGCGGTCCTGGAGTCAGGAGGACACGAGTTTAAATCCAGCCTCAGACACTTACCAGCTGTGTGACTTAGTGCAAGTCATCTAACCTCAATTGCCTCAAAAACAAAACCTGGCTTAGAATCATACTACCTGTGTTACCTTGGGAAGTCCCTTAACTGATCTGGGCCTCACTTTTCTCATTTGCAAAATTAAGGGGTTGCACTAGGCTGTAAATCTCAAATTTTTTGGTCTCATGACCCTTTTATACTCTTAAAAATTATTGAGGATTCCCAAAAAGCTTTTGTTTAGGTGAGTTATTGTTTTGGTTGAAGTATATGAAAGAAATCCAAGTTCACATTGATATATAAGAGGGAGAAGAATTTTAATAGGCAAATAACATCTTAATGGTATTATGAAATTAATTTTGACCTCCTAAAAGAGTCTTGCCGATTCTCAGGGGTCAGTCCTCAGACTAGATTTTGAGAACCGCTGGATTAGATGTTATGTAGGGTCTGGGTCCTTTTCATCTTTAGATCTCTGGTCATGTGATCCTATGAAAGTCTGATTCCCTGGAGAGTTAATTTTTTAAAAAAACACCACAAAACCCAGGAAAGTGTGATTTTCAAATATCTTCCACCCTCAAACACTCCTCTGGAGGAAAGACCCAAGGGACCACCTATGCACCTGTTTTTCCTCACTTCCAATAAAAATAGCAACTAAAAATAATCTCTTTAGGATGAGTGAGAAGAAGGACGCTGCTTTGGTTGAAAGACCTATGAGGTGATAACTGATTTGTAAATGTTTGAAATGAATCACTAATTTGTGTCCAAGACAAAACTACAGTCACTGTCAGATGCACTTGAAGCATTTGAAAAACAAAACAAACTGTTCAGACAGTGAAGGATGATCCTGTCTACCAGATTAGATGGGATCTGCTCATTCCTCTCAACATGTAACACTCTATTCTTTTTAAAAGGATCAATGCTGTCAGGTTGATCAGATTCCTGTTTGGAATTCATTCAGAGTGACATCCTTGGAAAGCCACAAAAAAAGAGAATGTTAGAACTTGAGAGACTTTCAGAGGTCATTTAGTTCAACTCTCATATTTTGTAAGTAAAGAAACTAAGGCCTGCAGAGACATAAAATGTTGCCCAAGATCACACAGCTAGATACTAGCATAGACCAGACTAGAACCAGATTTCTTTACTCATGGCTCTGTGTTCTTTCCCCTTTGATCTCTGAGCTATAGATTTATTCACAGAATTCACAGATCTAAGTACCTCCACTAAGTGAAGCCTACAATTTCTATCTCTCTATGAATTATGAAAAGAATTTGAGTAGCAAGTCACTTAATAGCTGACATTTATATAATTCTTTTATGACTGCTAAGCACTTTACAAATATTATCTCGTCTTATCCTCAAAGCAACCCTAGCAGTTTACAAATATTATCTCGTCTTATCCTCAAAGCAACCCTGGGAAGTAGAGGCTATTATTATCCCCATTTTACAGGTGAGAAAACTAATGCAGAAAAATATTAAGTGATTTGCCCAGAGTTATACAGCTAGCAAATATCTGAGGTTAGATTGAACTCAGGTTTCTCTTAACTCCAGACACAACACTCTATCCATTGGGCCACCTAGCTGCCTACTTAATCTTCCTGGGTCTCAGTTACCCATTGACCTATGCAGCTGAGGGATATTCTATTCCCAATTACCCTGCCCCACCAGGTTCCACAAAGACTTTCTATGAGGAGGCCTATGCTCCAAATCATTCTCACCTCCCTGCCCTACTCAAGACCTCCCCTACTCTGCATCCTATTTACCGAGGGCCTGGCTCTTCTGGTGACAAATTTCCTTCTAGATTGTAAATAGTTGCAAGATAATGCATTTTAACAGTCTTATCAGGCAATCGATCAAACCATAAGGCATTTCTGAGCAACTAGTGTGTATTACATACTACATGTAGCCCTGTGGTGGACACAGAAAGATAGACTAAACTCAAGGCACTTACAATCCAGTGGAAGAGATGGGTAACAGACATAAAGAGAATTTAAACAGCTAATAATGCAAGACAACAACACAAGGGAGGTCACAGCATTGTTTATATAATGCCAAGTGAATGGGATAAACAATTAGTTTCACAGGGATTAGAGGAGAGAGGGAGATTATTTGGGATTAGATTGATTAGGGGAGGGATAGGATTTGATCTGGGCTTTGAAAGAAGACAGGGTAAGATTTTTATAGATGGAAGAGAAGGAAGATGCCATTTAAGGCAGAAGGATGATTAGTTTAAGGAGAGGTTTCTATACTTCAATGAATCAAGTATTCAGGACTTCGTACAACCACAGAATCTCAGATTTCTTATCAGAATCCATCTGTATAACCCAAACCTGTCTAAGAATCCCCTCTACAGTGACCCCAAGAAGTGGTGACCCAGCCTTTTCTTGAAGACCTGGAGTGAGGTGAACTTTTCTATTACATAAAGGTTTTTTAAACTGTGTATTAAAATAAATGAAACACAAAAGAAAATCCTCTTTTGAGTTCTTTTTGTTTTCTTTTATGTATATGTCAAGACATTTTATGATAATCTTTTTCATTTTTTAGCATCTCTATCACTTTTTTATTAACTCACTGCATTCTGTATCAGTTCATAAAAAGTCTTCCCAGGTTTCTCTGAATTATTGGAATAGTCTTTTTCTAGTTCATTTTAATTTTAATTTTAATTCAGAATTCTCTCCCTTCCCCTCTTCCTATGCTACCTATTGAGAAGGCAAGAAAAGCAAAAACATATTACAAATATGAATAATCATGTAAAACAAATTCCAGCATTAGCTATTTCCAAAGAAAAGAAAGAGGAAAAAAAATGCTTTAATCTCTACTCTGAGTCCATCAGCTTTTTATTTGAAGGTAGAGA